GATGCAGCCGGAGAGTGACCGTAAGGCATGAGAGAGTGGCAGTCGCCCGATACTCTGAACTCTGACCTAACCTTCCATGTAGACTCCCTCACCCTCCTTTCTCCCCTGGCTCTGTTTTACCTGAATCTGCAGTATTGGTGGGCCCTTTCCCATGCCAGCTGCCCTGGGCATTACCCTTTGTGGGATCATGTGTCCGTCTGTGATCTGGGTTCTAACCAGGCCGCTTTGCTGCTCTTTCTGGTCTGCCCTGACATCCTACCAGTCACCACAAAATTGCCCTAATTTAGTTGGCAATCTTGGAATGTAAACTGGACATGTTCTCACAGCTGATGCACATGTTCTTACTACTCTGAGAATTTATTAGTCATCCCAAGTATAGGAAAATACTTCCTTAGGCTCTCAATATCAATACCACTAAGGGGATAGTAGTATGCGGGACTGGTTATCCATAAGAATATAAAAATAGGTGCCCTGGCCTATCCTATCACCCCTTTAACTTTCCCAACCAGTTATTCAGCTGTCATCTTTCATTGCAAAAGTAGAGGACAAGAGTCCACCGATTCTATGTCAATGATGCCAAAAGAGCTTCAGAATTCACGAGTCTTAATATGTCCCAAGAATGAAACAGGGACACAGCTCAGAAGATGCACCTGCTAACACAACAATACAACTGCTTCGAAGGCAACCTTCTAAAGGGCGATATCCACTCCCCCTCCACACCCCCCTCCCGTGACAAGCTATTATTAACAGCAAAGGTGGCGGTGCTGCTGATGACTCATAAGTGTGCTAATTTGTGAAGGCTGATCATGGGCAGTCTTGACTAGGAATCATTTGCTGGATTTAATCAATTATTGGGCTCATCAAATGTGATTACTGAGCCACATAAAATCCAAGCGAAAGAAGGCATTAGACACTTGGGGATAAAATAACTCGTTTGCCCTGCAGCCGAGAGAGGTCACTCTATTATCGACATGTGCGAGATCCACTCGATCGATTATCTCCACATATGTGTGTCCTGGGCTGTCTTCCTCCTAATGTCCAGAATGTTTCTGAGCCATTTGCCCCTTTCGGAAAAAGCCTCAAGAATCAGCAAGACATACATTTTAAAAAGAATTAAAAACATGAAGGAAACAAAGAGTAAAGATTCTGGACTAGCCTACTAGGCTTTAATGAGCCCGTACTTTCAAGCATCATAAATAATATGCAATGCTGTAGGCTGTCTCTGCGAGCTAGTGAAGAGGGAAGCGCATAACGTAGGCTCCTCCCAACAGACCTAATTTTTCCCAATGGCCTTCAATACTGACATCTATCCTAGCCATTACTGTCTTCTACTATAACTACTTTGCTCCCGTGTGTCTAACCTACAAGCCTGCGAACCTCTTCACAGAGGGCATTTCTTACAGATCGTATCTCCAGTGTTTACTTGAGTCTATGGCCATAGTAAGTACTAAGGAACCTTTTGTTCAATTGAAAGATTTTTGTACAGTTCCATGCATGTGGCTATCAGTATAATATGATTATCAAAAAAGGTGAGAGAGTCCTTTGGCTAAATTTAATTGCTCACAGAAATATTTCTAGGTTTATGAAATGAGTAAATGAGAACCAGAACTTGTACTATCTAAGCAGAGCTAGGATTAGTAACAAGCAAATCAACAGCAACCTTCCTGCTAAGGGAGCTTCGCACTCCACCCCCCGGTCATCCTGACCAGGGTATGTCCACAGTCCAGGCGAGAGCACTGGGCATGTGTCTGCAGAGGCCTCTCAGGTTTGCGGCTGTGCCTTTATTTGTACCTCTGCCTCTGATTGTGCTGACCGATCACAGGGTTCGCTAGCACACTGAAACAGTGTGTGAGTGTGTCTGTGTGTGTCTGTGTGTGTGGATCAGAAACATTTCTAACACAGATTCGGCTTCTAACATCACCTCTGATTGCAGTTCCTTTCTCCGGGGGCAGCCCAGAACCACTAGATTATTTCTAGGTGTTTGCTGCTATGTTGCCTGTGGTCTGACAATGCTTTCTCAAAGACACAAACGTCTCAGAGCCAAACCTGACAACCTGGAGCTGCAGCTGTGTGAGAAACAGCCTGATGAGAATTTTACGAAGAAGCAGGTTTCCCGCGTAAGCCTCTCCAGCTGTCAAATTCCTGTTTCGCCGCTTCAGCAAATGTCTTGGAATGAATGGCCCCGTGGACAAGGCTCATTCGCAAGGCAGGAGGATGGTTCCTCTTAATCATGTTGATCTAAAGCCTAATCCAGCAGGGTTTTCTGCGCAGGGGAAAGCTGCTGGTGCCCTTGCTAAGCCAGTAAAGAGCACTTACCATTCTTTTGGTTGAAATTCTGGTCTTGGCAGAGATGAGTAACATTTCCCTTAATGCTAAAAGTGAGACTCATTGTCATCAAAACATTCCCTTGGGCTACTAAGATCTGCCTAGTCACTGATGAAATATATAAAGAAAGATATCTAGGCCCTGGCCGGGTAGCTCAGTTGGTTAGAGAGTCGTCCCAATACGCCAAGGTTGTGGGTTCAATCCCTGGTGAGGGTACATACAAGCAGCAACCAGTGATGCCGAAATAAGTGGAACCACAAGTCGATACCATATTCCCTCTCTCTCTCTCTCTCTCTCTCATCAATAAAATAAAAATAAAAAAATAAAAGAAAGGTCTGCTTCAGTTGAGTAGGGTGATGATGGCTTTGAAAGCTAGTGGATTTTTCCCTTCAACGTGGCCTTGAAAGGTGAATAAATACGTAAGTGAAATGAAATGAAATATAGCCCCCCAAAAAAAAAGTTTACACAGAGGTAGGTTATTTTTGTATCCCGGGCTGTCATGGAGACACCCTGGAGGATGTCAGCCATGTGGAGAGAGAGAGGAAACAAGGAGCACAAGGGCTCCCCATGTGTGGGTGGAGAAGCGACCTTAAGAGTGGACCCTCCACCTCCAGCAGCCGCCGCTGACACCAGGTGGGTCAGATACAACCCACTCGGCGAAGTTGCTCCCGAATTCCTGACCCACGAAAGCATGAGCAAGAAAAAGCAGTTGGTTTAAGCCATTCGTGTAGGGATGGTTTGCTGCTCAATGACAGATTAGTAGACATGGATCTATCCAATAAGAAAATATGTGGGTGATTAAAAAGATAGCTCAAACCAATCCGCTATTAATTTGCACTTGACATGACTTCAGTGAAGCTGGTACAAGACAGCCTGGTGGTGGTGGTTTTTTACATCAGCATAATAAAAAAATGCAACAGCATTCACGTCAGATATGCAAAAATATGCTTTCGAAAATAATCTACATAGTAATTTGAAACTGGCCGGGTTTGAGCAGCTCTCTTATAACAGTCTTACCTGACCACTTATCTCTCCTTAAAATAAAACTGAGGCAACTTAGAAACATCTCATACCCCAGGTTAACTGCCTGTGAAAGTGATAAATTACCTTCTACTACTGAAGCCCATTACGCTCTCTAACTCGAGTGGTTCATTTACATCCTGCTCAGTGGTTCATATCCAATTACTACCATGAGCCCGATGAACCTGAACGAGACAAGATTATTCAGCCATCTGTATCAGTTCACTATATTTAGAAAAGTATAGCAACCTCTAGGAAGATTTCACGTTTCAGTCCATTTTCTCCCAATGATTGGTACACCTCTGTAATGCATATCAAATTATCACACCACTACTCTGGACTATTGACTTTATTTGAAAACCATAGGACATAGGAGTCTCTGCTATGGTATGATATACCAAATACGCTTTCTTTTTTTGAATATGATTTTATTGATTTGAGAGAGAGAGGAAGGGAGAGGGTGAGAGGGAGAAACACCGATCGGCTGCCTCCCACACGCACCCCCATGGGAAATTGAGCCCTCAGCCTGGGCATGTGCCCTGATTGGGAATTGAACCAGTGAACCTTTGGTGCATGGGGCGATGCCCAACCAATGAAGCCACACCAGCCAGGGCAAAATACATGTTTTCAAAAATAACTGACACTGCCCAGCCGGGCGTGGCTCAGCGGTTGAACATCAACCTAGGATCCAGGCGATAGGGGTTCGATTCCTGGTCAGGGCACATGCCCAGGTTGCGGGCTCAATCATCATTGATGTTTCTATCTCTCCCTCCCTCTCCTTTTCCTCTCTCTGAAATCAATAAAGATATATTTTTTAAAAAATAAATAAATGACACAATAATTTCAAACTTGACTCACTAGAAAAGGTAACACTAAAGTGGTCATCTGAAAGTACCACTGTTGATACCTACTGGCATTCTAACTGCACCAGTGATTCTTGATCTGAATGGCATCTGTCTACAGCTATGATACCAAAGTCAAATGCAATCCATGAAAAGCTGACACGAGCCTTTGAGACGAAAGGTGGGCTTTGAATGCTTGGTGAACAAAAGGTCTAAGCAACTCTCTTTCTTTGGCATGTGCTTTCCAAATCTTCTCAATAAAATGGAGTAAAGGAGGGTGATGATGGATGAGACTCTTCTTGAAATTATCCCTCCCACTATGAAATCAAAAAGACCATCGCTGCCCTTCAAGGAATTTGTACTCATGCCTTGAGCTCAACAGCACTTTGTCAGCAAATCAGGCAAAGGAGAATTTCAGGCAAAGGAGAAGTCAAATGCGAAAATGTATAGTTAAAGACCCTTTTGTGCCTCCACCCATAAATCTTCAACACCCACACACCACCCCCCTCCCAGCCCAGCCCCTCTCTAGCCACGGTTTTAGCAAAATCACCAGACAGCTCAGCAGGAACATGCTTTTTAATCCACAGGGTCCCCTCTCGTGTGAAGGTGGACACCACTGTGCCACACTGAGTGCCTACGATCAATTTTTAATTACAACAGCAGCAGCGATCGAGATAAAGCAGGCAACTCACTGAGCAGGGACCGAGGGACTGTTTATTACAAATGAACGTCCTCTATGAGCTACACTTGCAAAGAGCTGTGCCCCGAATGCCTCGCCCAACCGGCTGCCCTTCCTCAGAAGGAGGCTCTTACCTCTGGGACGTTTTCTTATATTTTCTCCTGTAGGAAAGAAGCATAAACACACATCAGGAGAGGGTCTGCAGTGGGCAGTGGGTTAGAAAGGTCGCTTCAGAGGGATGGGCCTGGAGGGAACGCTTTGCAGAAGGAGCCCTCTGTGAGGCGTGGGGGTCGGAGCCCAGTTAAAAGCTTTGGATTATCGTGGTATTTTGTGGCCAGATGCATATAACTGTGGTCTTCACAGTTACAAATAGCAGCCCAAGAGCTCGATGGCTCTGCCCCCTATGTTCTCCCTTCCCCTCTGAGGGCGCTGCAGCATCTTGGCTGAGGCCTAGTTTTAAAAACAGCAGGATCCGGGTTCCGATCCCAGCCCTTCCATTGCCCACATCCATGGGGCTGTTGAGCAGTAAATGGCCAGAGGCTTATAAAGCATTTCTTCTGCTGGTGCATCGTAAATGGTCCATAACCATTAGCTGTTTGCACTGTCACTACCGTCACTACTACCCCATTGTCTCGCACTGAAGTCCCTTTAAAGATGTGCCTCTTAAAATGTAAATGCATAACTATGCGGCTAAACCTTGGGTAAGATCAGACACAAGGTCCTGGGGAAGGACGATGAAGGGAGGGGCAATGGGAAGGTCTAGGAAAGGTGACAGCTGCATCAGCCCCGTGCTAAGGGCTTGGCGGCGGGCTCGGTCTGGAAGGACACCTCCCCAGGACGCAGCAGTGACTGAGTCCTGTCCACCTCCCCTATTTACAGTCCCCATTTCCCCTCTGGCAAACCTGTTGGTCTCAGGGCTTCTACGTCTATCAAATGGGGCTAACACCTACCCTGGCCCTCTCACCCAGGTCATAGTGACATTTAATGGAAGAATGGCCATAAAAGTTTACTTCTCCATATCCCGTGTCATTCGTGGCCGGGTCAGCTTTGCATACTCTGAAGACCCTTCCGTGGAGGGGGAGGGAGGAGAAGCATCCCCGGGAAGCGCGGTGCTCCCCACGAGTGCTCAGTTCCACACTTGCCCATTACAGTCACTGCACCAGGAGGCCAGGCCGCCGACCGGCCGGCTGATAGAGAGGCATGTCACATGCTTAAAAAACAAACACACACCACAGCTGTTTCCAATTCAGGGTCCCTGTGGCCTGTTACATCTCTGTCCAAGTGGAAACGTACTTGCTGGTGTTAGGTGTCAGGTGAAGAAGGCAGCCCGCCACAGAGCCTGCAGTGCGACCCGGGTGAATGCACACTGAGACCCAGTCATCCGAAAGCAAACACGCCACAATGACAACCATCACCCCGGGGTAACGGGGTCATGGGTCACTTCTTTAATTTTTAATTGTATGAATTTTCCAAATTTTCTTTTTAAAATAAGCATTATGAATAGAATTAGAAAAAAAACATAAAATATTCATACACCTACATAGACATAGTTACATATATAGATAGATACACACACATATATGGGGCTATATGGATAGACAGAGATATTTCCATGTGTGCGTTAGATCATATAAATAGGGAAGGAGGTCAGCTAACTGAATTAGCTATAAAGTGGGAAGATCAGAGCACCTCTCTCAAGAGCTTGTGGTGAGAAATGAATGAGCTAACCCCCCTGACTGTCGGCTCCCCAAAGGCAGGTTCCTGTAGGCTTCCCTGCTGTATCCCAGTGCCTAAAACAGTGCCTTGCTTTCCCTCCAAAAGCTGTGAGGCATGTGCGCTGAGCATCCACCCTCTCACACACGGACCCTATCACCAGTGACAACTCACACCCCCGGGCAGTGGCCAAGGGCAGAGGTTTCACCGACAGGCGCAGAGCACAGTGAGCTGTGGGTGTGCCCTTGCCCTCGGTCCTCATTAGAACGGCTGTCAAATGAACTGGGCTGAGGAGTCTCCAGCAGGACCAGAAAATAACCCGCTGAGAGTGCCAGGCCCAAGGGGAAGGGGGAGGAGCGCCCGCTGGACGCCCCTGGCTTCTACCCAGAAGCCCAACTAGTTCCATCCGCAGAGGGTGTCTTCAGGGGCAGGAAGAAGACAACTTTCGCTCTCGGCTTCCACAGAATTCTCCCAGCATTTGCCAAGGACCATACAAAGGCAGTGCTGGGAGCACCAAGAAAATCCAAGATAAACAAAAATAAGAATAGCTCCCATTTTCAGCACCTACCAGTAACGGCACTTAACATACATCGTTCATCCTCATAATAACCCTAAGATGCACTGTCTGAAAGAACGTGAGTACTAAAAAAGGAAGTTAGGACATGTACTTGAAGTGTTATTTTATTACAACAAAAATGCGAGGGGTGGCTAAAGACGCTTTATGAAAGAGGTAGCCTTGTCTTGATTGATGGGTGGGGTTTCAACGAGAAATATGTCATGTGCGGCGGGCAGGTAAGGAGGGCAGCCCAGTGGCCTCAAACCAGCCCGGCCCGGCCCAACCAGATATGGAGAGAGATAGAAATAAGAAGGCTGCCAAGTGCTGAGGACAAAGGTTTCCAAAGTGATAAGGTTATACTTTTATTTTTAAAGATGATACCTGGGAAAGGGAGTAACCTCTTGCATTGCCTTGTCTCATCTTTGATAGATTTGGTTCAAAACCCAGCTTCCCCTCCTCTCCAGCTGTAAGGCCTCAGGCAAGCTCTATGCAAAATCAAGCTTCACTCTCCACATCTATCATGTAGGAGGAATTATCTCACAGGTTGTAATGGACTGACTTTGCCAGGTACTGTGCAAGCCACGTAAGGGATATTCTAAAACTGTTAGGTCCCTTTGCCCCTTGTTTTGAGCCTCTTGAGGCCAAGGGTCCTAGCAGGTGGATTTCTATATCTATCCCAAGCGCTTGCACATGGTTGGCACACAACAAATGCCTGTTGGCCAAATAAATGAATCATTTGCACCTGCCACTCACACCTGTGAAAATGTGGGTCATGCATTTGGTTGACCCAAAGAAAGAGAGACCAAAAATATGATTTTCAGTCCAGCTCACCTTCCTGACACCCTGCACTCTCACAGATGCATTCTTGGCTTCCCAGGTCCTGAAGTTCTCCCTCCCTATCTTATCCCTTTTAGACAAAGACAGCCCCCAAATCAAGACAGACCCAATCCAAACAGTGTCATCTTATGCTGTTGTTCAAAGATCAGTGCTTAAAGCAGAAGAGAAAATTCGGGTCTGTGGAAATCACCCTACTGAAGTCCTGCTCACAGATCAACGCGACTGGGCAAGATCGGCAAGGCCTGACCGAGCCCTGCTCACCTTTCCCTTCCCAGCTGAGACTTCACTTCCTACCGGAAACCCGCCAGGGCCTCCCCAACTCAGAAGCACCCCTTTCGTGGGTCACTGTGCTTATCACTCTGGAAGGTGATGATCTGCTGTGCTGGTGGCAAGAATGATGGCTTGTCTGGTAGCTGCTAGAGTTTCTCCCTTGCCGGACACAGTGCTTAGCAAATGCCAGGTGTTCATTATACTGTTGTGAAACGAATGAGTTAGTTTATCAGGAAACTGATCCCCATGGTGCTTTCTTTCTACTCATGTCCCCTCTGTTTGCTGAAGATTCCCAAGCCGTGGGGCATCTCCCACAGCCACAGTTCCCTACGCACACGAGGGAATCCACGAGAGAAGGCCAGGCCTGTGACTGCCCGGCACCTCCTCTGCTCCGTCTCTGTTATATAATGAACTCACTCTGACCTCCCACAGACGCTGGGAGGCTCAGAGAGCTTAAGTAACTACCTAAGGACACAGAGCCTTAAAGTGGTTGAGACCGAAAGCAAACTCTGAGGCCTTCAAAGAAAGTGGGGAAATTCTGCAAAGAAGCCGAAGGATGCCAGGAGGAAACTTAGGAGACAAAACAAAAGCTACAATAGAGCATACGGGGTTCTTTCCATCCAAACACAGGAAATGAGCTGGGAAAGAACCCCGTTTATTTTGGGCCTTTTGTTTTTAAAAAACGTCAACAGAATTTACCCCGGATCCACACCCTGAGAGACCGAGGGCATGTTTTCAAGTGGGTTCTTTTGGTGTCACAAACTTACTTTCGATGTCTAATTTTTGGAAACTTGGAGCAATACATCACTATTCTCAAGGTTTGTGGAGCCGGTTGGAGCTGACGGAGAAAGGAGAAGACGGCCGGGAGCTGCCGGGCTCTGGGATCTAGCAAGGCTGGAGGTGTGGGCCATGGAGAGAGCACAGCGGCTCCATCAGGCGGGGGCAGGTCATCCTCATGGGGACAGGCTGAAAGCCACGTCCAAGGGGCCCAGGGCGGCGCCTTCCAAACTGCTCTCCAGTGGTCCCAGCCCTTCTTCACACACACAGTTGCTTACACCCACGTGCACACACTGACAGCAACGTTTGTTTGTTTGTTTGTTTGTTTGTTTGTTTGTTTGTTTGTTTTAAGGAGAAGCATTTCAGCTCAGTGCTTCAGATCACTTGCCTGAGCTCGAATCCCTTCTCCGATTTACTGTGGCCAATAAGTCATGTGAGTTTTAGCAGCTGTCATCATGTTCCCAACCACCAGTCCCCTCAGCTGTAAAACCTGGGCATCAATACGTGCTTCACAAGGTGCGGTGAGAGCTGAACAGACAGGGAGTGGGTGAGGCGTGGAAGGGGTCAGTGGGAAAAAAGGGAACATCTGTAATATTTTCAACAATAAAGGTCCATTTAAAAAATAATAAAATAAAATAAAATAATAAAATAAAATAAAATAAAATAAAAAAATAAAATAAAATAAAATTTTTAAATGAATCTAATTATTTACATTTGGCACAGTGCTGGGTATCCAGTACAGGTCCAAGAGAGTCAGCTATTGTATTAATAACAAACATGCTGAATAAATCATAATGGTATCAGAGCTCAATAGGTTTCCAAATTTTGTTTTAGGGGAAAAAAGTGTTTCATTGATTTTAAAAAGTAAAGGAAAAAGATTGAAGACTGGTTTCAAAAGTGGAAAATGTACTGTTCCCATTCTCCCTATTTTAGGATACTTGAGCCACAAAGGGAGCCGGAGCTAATCCCGGTCCCGCTAAGAGGAGGAGCTGAAGCCCTGCCCAGCAC